AACTGACAGAGGAATTAAAGCTAAATAGAAATAACAAAAATGACGACCTAAAAATATCAAATAAAACTTCAAACTAAAGCAAAAAAAATATTGTTAAAAATCTAATTCATTACAAAAATGAGTACCTAAAAATAAACAAATAACAAAATTATCAAAGTTAAATTGAAGATTTTAAACTTTAATTCATTCCCTCATTTATTTTCCTTTGGCTTAGCCTCTATTTTCAGGGGTCGCCACAGCGGAATAAACCCCCAACTATTCCAGCATATGTTTTACGCAGCGCATGCCCTTCTAGCTGCAATGCAGCTAAACAGTGGTCTCTTGCTATTTGCAGGAGTTACATTCTAAAAAAATAACCCACAATAGGTGAAATCTGCGAAGTAGTCTGCTTTTTTTTTATTATAGATGTTTTAAGGCTGTAAAACCCCTCACTACACACTTTATAAACTTATCTTAGACAGGTATTACTTTTCTAGGTATAACACTCTCAAAGTTCAAACTGTCGTAGAAAAGTTTGATCTTCATTTATTTATTCCGTAAAGGCGGCCTACTGCCGTGTAACTTCTACCTTCATTTAGCATATTCAGAAGTTTAACTTTTTGTGCGATGGTTAGCATCTTCCACTGCCTTTTGGGTGTTACCTCGGGTGCCTTTGACAGTGCAGAATATTTCGTCAACATTGTGGGGAGAAAACTTGCAAACATACAGTGCAGCTCTTCAGAGTCACACTGCTAGGGATTAAAGATTGATGCAAATTTGACAAATTGAACGCATTTTGTACTGTACAGGAGACACGGCACGGAGGAAATTGATCAATAATGAGATTGATTGACTATGGTCTATAGTCAGGACGCAGAACACAATGCGCGGTAGAAAAAAAGCATGTCAAATTGCACTTAAAAAATCCACGAAACTGCGAGGCCACCAAAAAAGTGAACCGAATTATAACAAGGGACCACTGTACACACTCATTCACAAATACACTATGGACAATTCAGCTTTTTCAATTCACCTATAGCGCATGTCTTTGGACAGTGGGGGAAAGCGGAGCACCCGGAAGAAACCCACACCAACGCGGGGAGAACATGCAAACTTCACACAGAAATGCTAACTGACCCAGTCGGGACTTGAACCAGCAACCTTCTTGCTGTGAGGTGACAGTGCTAGCCACTAAGCCACCAAACATCCACTGAGAAACGAAAACAGCAAACAAGCCAACAACAACATGAGGATTTTAGTGTGAAGTACTTTTTTAAGCAGATTAAGAGAATGTTGGAGGATAGGGGGGTTGGGGGAGGGGGGGGGGGGGTTGTGATCAGAAAACGCTCAGTTGGTTTGAGAAAATGGAATATTTGCACTTTTAATGAAAGGCCTGGGCATATTTAATCATGTTTAACCAAGTCATTTAAACAAGTAATACATTTAAGATCAGTGAGAGACGACATGCGTGAGGCGTTTGCAATGAGCTATTAGTAAAATACTGCAAATCACATCCCCGAGGGGGGGAAACATTTCCTCTGGAAACATTTTACTCAAATATTTGGTTTGGTTTTTATACAAGGCAGTGCAACGCTGGTTGGTTGTGTTTCCTTCCAGATGTTGACACGACTGCTGACAGTGAGCAGGCCCTTCAGAGCCGTCGTCTCCATAAACAGCAGCAGTCAAGTTCAGCAGACAGACTAGAGGTCAGGCCCTCTGAACTAACCCTCGTCCCACCAGCCATTAAATCACATTCGCTTTTTATCACTCTCGTTCGGTCTTTCTGAAGCTTCTAAAGCACATGTCAGAAGAGTGCTTTGTGGAACTGTCCTCAAATACTAAACATACTTGTTCAACAAACTAATTTAAGGAATATCACCAGCTAATTAACAGTGCACTGTAAAACTCAACAGTCAACTTTATCAAATGAAATGAGTGTGGTTAACTCAAAATGTACTGCAAGTTAATTCTACTCATTTGAAAAGAGTTTTAAACTCGGTGTTGAAGGTTATACCTCATTACTTCAACTTAAATTGAGTAAGTTTACAGTACTCGTATAGATTAGTTTTTGACTCATATGGTTTGTAGCAATCAGTTTCCTCAAACCGTTTGAGTTGCCTTAACTTATTGAGATTTACAGTACTCAGTTGGTTTGAGTTCTCTTCATTAGTTGAGTTTTATTGAGCTCAAATTGCTTCGTTTACTCAAATTAAGTTCACAGTACTCATTAGAATTAGTTTTTACTTAAAAGGTTTGTTATCTGTTGTATCTGTAGTTTTTTCTATAATCAGCTTTCGCCTACTCCCAGGTTAATAGAAAACTCTACCAACAGCATTCTCAATAGATAATATACAACTTAGAACACAAATTTAGTGAGTTTTGAAAAAAAAAAGTTGTGTGAAGTAAGTGATAAACTGTATTTATATATATATTACCAATTAGCAATGACCAAAAATCATTTCACTCGGTATGCTCGGTAGGGCTGTACAATATATCGTTTCAGCAGCGACATCGCAATGTGATCATTTGCAATAGTCACATTGCAGATTATGCAGTCTTGATTTTGTATTATAATTTATCCTTTGCATGTGTGTTTGAGGCCTGTGATTGTATAATGATTTTTTTTTAAACATTTAGGCATATGAAACGGCCCAGTTTGTAACTTCAAAAACGATTAATTTGATTAAATTAGATTTTTGTTATTCAATTGCTGTACCTGAATATTGTTAGACTCAGAAAAGGACAAATCACTGTTTATATCAATTATATATTTTCTTTTTATTGTATTTATAGATTGTTTATTATATTTTATGCAGATACACTGCCCTACAGAATCATCCCAATTAGTCTAAAATGATCAATACTTTGCAAATAGAGATATTCAAGTCATCTGGTGAAATTGTATTCCTATCGCAATTTATATCGCAGAATAACAAAATTTGTTAGATTTGTTTCATTATTGTGCGGTCCTAATGCTCAGCCAATTTGTTTAATTAGGGAAACATCAAATTCTCTTAAACTGTTTGCTGGCTGACAATTAAATTCTATATTTGGAATCACCAATAAAATTAAACAAAAACTATGTCTTTAGATTTGTTTCTAAACCAAAAATTCTCACAAATTTTTATAAAGAGCCAAAAACCAAACTCTTTTATAATAATAAAAAAATATAGAAATAAGAAAAAAAAAACTGTAATCAACTTATCACAGTAAAAACAAAAACAATCCCATTCATTACACAATGGAGTTCAATGCCCAATACACAAGTCAAGCTTTGACAACACACCCCATCATTCTTTTCCCTGTTCGCAGATGAGATGGTGGGCCAAATTAAAGGTTACCATCGGACAAATTTAGCCCGCAGGTCCCTAGTTTGGGCATCTCGGTTCGTAACTTTCGAATCACACAAAATCTGCAGAAACTGTCCTAAAAACACAGGTATGTTCTGAGCCACTCCCCTAGAAAATCGTCAATGTTTACTAACGACTAATGATTGGTTCCTTTACTAGAAGGTGGGGCTTCATGCATTACGTTGATTGTTACACTCTTCCCCATTAAAAACTATATAAGTTACACGTCTTGTGTATTCTTTAGTCTTTGGATATAATCCAGACCCAGTAACGATACGTCCTAATTAAAATCTTCACACTTAATCTAGGTTTTATTTATACCTGACACTAGAGGGCACCACAGCACAGCACACAACCAAGACTCAGGTGAGCAATAATGGCGCAATCCCACGATCATAATTTTCTTCACTAATTCATTTTCTTTCAGCTTAGTCCCTTATTTATCAGGGGTCACAACAGTGAAAGGAACCGCCAACTATTCCGGCATATGTTTTTCGCGGTGGATGCCTTTCCAGCCAAAACCCAGTACTAGGAATCACCATACACTCTCAAATTTACACGCACTCATACACTATAGCCAATTTAGTTCATTCAATTTACTTATAGCACATGTCTTTGGACTGTGGGGGAGACTGGAGCACCCGGAGGAAACTCACACCAACATAGGAAATACATGCCCAGGCCCAGCCGGGACCCGAACCAGCAACCTTCCTGCATTTATCCTATTGAAAATGGACTTGCTACTTTCATCTTTGTGCAAACATGTTTTTCATACGCACATGAACTGCATCTTACAGAAGTGTCAAAAGCTTTTTCACACTTATTTCAATGTTTTGTATTGCAAACACAACATTTTCAATAGTCATGCATCAAAACAACAGCACGACCCACTCAAAAAGGTTTGGCAACCCATCAGTTGAGAAACACTGGTGTAGAATACAATCAATTAGTTTGAGGCCCGCTCTGAGGATTCACTTCCATTAAAAACCACATTGCAACATAGAGTTGACAACCCTTATGCGACATCAGTTCAACAAACATATCCATAAACCAAATGTTTACAGTCAACCGGTTCTGAGCCGTCCGTCTATCTTTTTCCCGCTCTCACGCCTGCAGGCATCCCAGCAACAACAACTGACATTTCATTATGCCTTTCACCGTTACTGAAATATTACATCTGTGAACGCAAAGCATTCAGTATGTTAATCAGATTACATGTCTGTCTGTGCAAATTAAAGAAGCTGCTCAAATCTGTGTTTGCGGAGCTGCTTTATTAAAGCCGCTGCTGGAAAAATAAACGGAAATAAACATCCCATTCTTGTCCTCCTAATGCACACAATTACATACCATGGGCATTTTTGAAAAATGACAACCAGGAAGAAACAGGATCTGGAATGAAACACTCATGTACACACATAACGCATCTAACACACACTAATTCATGCGAAAAGCTTCTATTCAGCTCACTTAACCGTTATGTGCTTATGGAGCACTTGCATCCTGTGACACTTTGGTAAGCAAATCTGCTGTGTGTCATCCACTAAACACCATCACATCAATACTCGAACAACAGATTGAGTCTGAGGCCCGGCCCAGCGCAAAACGCCATTAGTTAAAGCACAGCTCCGCCAAAAACCAGCGACAAGACTGAAAGATCTGTCATTCACTTACATAGTCATGGAAGGCCTTGGCCTCGCTGGAGTGCTCGCAGGTCTCCCGGCGGTCTGGAGCGGCACAGTACAAATCCCAGAATACACTGCAAACAGAAAGAGGAGATAATGAGACAGATGAATACAGTATAACTGTAATATAAATCCACATGACGTAAATAAATATAGATGCAATTAGGGGTGTGAAATCACACAATTCCAAATTTTAAGATGATTCTTGATCTACACTGTTTATTAACTAATGAATTGAACAACTTTCACACGGTGGCTCAGTGGTTAGCACTTACACCTTACAGCAAGAAGGTCGCTGGTTCGAGCTCTGGCTGGGCCAGTTGGCGTTTGTGTGGAGTTTGCATGTTCTCCCCGTGTTCACGTGGGTTTCCTCCAGGTGATCCGGTTTCCCCCACAGTCCAAAGACATGCGTTATTATAGTTGAATTGAATAAGCTAAATTGGCTATAGTTTATGAGTGTGAATGAGAGTATATGGGTGTTTCCCAATGCTGGATTGGAAAATGACTGAATGAATGAATAAATAAATGGTTAAACAACTTTGAATTAGGGTCATTGTAATGATCATCGATTTTAAACATGTTCAAGTGTTCACACTTAGCTGATGATTGATTATAAAGCGTGTTTGGCATGCTAACCCGGGAGAGAGAGCTCATAAAATCCTCGAGTCCAGGGCTCCCTCCCCTTCCATTGCAGAACGAGAGGGTAGTTGAGCCCGGGTAGATCTCAAAAACTCCCCTGCTGTTGTAGCTAATGAACAAATAGGAAGTGCTATGAAGAGATAACTAGGAGCAGGTCTATAGTGCCGATTTCGATTAATCAATTAAATTAAGTTGCATATTTTTGGACCGTGGTAGGAAACCGCGGGACACGGGGGAAACCCATGTGAGCATGAAGAGAACGTGTAAACTTGACTGGCTTGGTGAGGACTAGATCCAGTGACGTTCTTGCTGTGAGGCAACAGTGCTAACCCCCGGGTGCCACTCATCTAGGAAAGGAGGAGTAGGGGTGGAAGCGACTAAATCTCAACTATTTAGTCGCCACTTCACTTCCTAATCTGCAATTGCCTCTCTGGATATACCACTAACTGTACACAAAAAAATTATAATAATAATAAAAATACAAAAAAATTACTAAAAAAATAAATACAATTTTTACTAAATTACTAAAATATTACTAATACTTTCCTTCTTAGACTGTACAGACCTTAAACTTGCCTATAGCACTTATTCATTGTTGCTCTTATAGTTTTGTAAATTGCTTCCTTGTCCTCATTTGTAAGTCGCTTTGGATAAAAGCATCAGCTAAATGACTAAATGGAAATGTAATCATCTTAAAGGCTTGTATACACCGGGACACTTTTTGTTGGCATTTATCGTCAGCGTTTTTCAAAATACATTTCCGGATTTAAATAAGCAGCTCCATGTTTATATCGCCTCAGGGTATCTTCTTAAATGTGCGCTCGCATTGACAGTTTTAAGCTTGAGCGCCTCCATGTGCTGTTTAATGTAACTTCAGCAGCTCCACGCATGTGAACAAAAGTGGCATATCAAAACAAAGAAATGAGCAAGAGGCATTTCTTTAAAAATTACAATTATACGCCTGGTGTCTTGCACGTTGGAGAGCAGTGTGCACGATTAAATTGCAGCCTTTTATTTAGTAACGAGGCGTTAAACGTCTACGGAAAATGCAAGCAAAAAGCGTCCAGGTGTGAACAGGCATTTAAGCCAAAGAAAAATGAATGAATGATTTTTGTTTGTATGCGTTTGGTCGGCGCAATAGCCTAGTGGTTAGCGCGTTGACATATGGTGCAAAAGCTCGTCAGGAGGTCCCGTGTTCAAATCCTGGCTTGAGGACATTTAAAAGTTTCCCAGAGATGGGTTGCAGCTGGAAGGGCATCCGCTGCGTGAAAACTTGCTGGATAAGTTGGCGGTTCATTCCGCTGTGGCGACCCGGGATTCATAAAGGGACTAAGCAGACAAGGAAATGTATGAATGTATGCGTTTGTTGTGTCATGATGCTACTGCCATGATTTAATTGCCCCTGGTAGAATTAATATATTTGTTAGTTAGTTTCCATAAATTCAAGTTATATAAATTAAAAATGTCATTTAATTGTAATAATTATCATTTTTTGTTGTGGATTGTGATTTTGCCAGCACAGATCATGAAGAAAGAATTTTTGTAAATTCTACACATTATAAAAACAAAGTCCAGTCAACCTGAGCACCATCGGTGAGACATACATTTCCACCGATTCCACCCGTCTGGCACAAGCAGCAGGTTACAGATCAATTAAAGCAGGGATTTCCTCAATTAAGAGCTTTTGGGTCCTGCAGGGCTGTTTGGAGGGGGAACAAGGTTTGTGTCCAAATGGTATTTTAATTACTGCACTGAAACTAAGTACCTGTTTAACTGGCCCAAATTAGATCGCTCCAGGTCTTCAGATATCGATTTAATGGATAACCTATAAAATCTCCTGGCCCAGCGGCAGTAAGGCTAAAGACTAACCACTGCCACAGGACACGCGCCTGCTGTTGATCTCACCGAGAAACTCAAAATAAACCCGCTTTATCAAGGGTAAAGAACATGTAACCTTCTTATGATAATTTCACAAGTTTTGATGCGCATTAGTGCTCTTTCACTTGATCACAACACGAGAGTCCATCCAGTTAGTTTCCTCTCAGTTTATTTTTACATCAGATGACGTCCGCAATCATCACAATCCACTTATATACAACTTGTTTGTTCCAGTTTGATGAATTCTGACTCCAATTTGACACTTTTACAGTCAAAAGCCTGTGCTCTCCAATCACACTAACAACTTACGTGTGCAACAAACATGCATACTACACATGCACAGTAGAAAAAGTAACTAAAATTGTATGACATACAAATCAACAAGAAAACATTATCTAACAAAAATTTTGATAATTACCTTTAACAATAAACTATGAAATGTGGCTCTTACACTGTATATTATATATTTCCCACAAAACTATTTAGTGACGTTACAGACATCACAATTCTGCTGATATGAACACTTTTGTCCTATCGCTAAAAACTATGGTAAATATTTTGCTGGAAAATTTGGATAAAGAAATTTCTACAGCATGTAAAAGAGTTACTCAGGAAAAGCAGTAAGAAGGGATAAAATGAGGGACCATTTGTATGTGGGGGTGGGGAACATTAATGGGAAGAGGAAACTAGAAACAGACATGGAAAAGAGAGAGGGGGAAAATAGAGAGACGGAAAGAGGAGAATAGGAAGTGTGAGAGAAACAGTGGGGGAAAACATCTGAAACCACGAAGAAATGACTTGATATCCAAATTCACAATATAATTAAACTTGTTTTGGAATTATAATTTTAAAAATATATCAAAACTGATAACTTTTAGATGCACATATATGTTAAAGGATTAACACTAATCAGCCTTTGTATATAATTTCAAAAAAGCAAACAGGTTTGTCACAAATTTTAATAAAAATAAATAATAAATAAAACAGTTTCTTAAATTACTTAAAATTTTGTCCTTATTCTTCAATGCGGCAGTGCAGCTCGTTTTTTAATTTTTATTGTTTTAAAACTTCCAATTCAATGGGACAAATGACTAGAAATAATAGATGGCAGAAAACAGCCAAACTGCTTGCTCTACAAACAAGAGTGTTCATGACCATACAGACAAAGTATTATTATAAAAAAGCATCAATTTGCAATATCAAGCAGCACAACAAGCTGTTCTTAACAACAAAAAATGAACGGATATGAATGGGACTACAAGTCTCAGGCCAAAAAGATTCAAATGGTTAGGCTTGTGTTTTATTTTGTTATTGGGAGGTAAGTAAGCATTTACATTTAAAAGTTTCTCTTGGTTGTGTAGAAAACTATTAAATATACTATTAAATGTTCCACTTATAACATTTGGACACAAAGTTTTAAAAAGTCTACTTTTTTAATAATGAGGGGAAAAAGCTCACCTAAAAATGTAAAGAATGTAATTTTTTTGCCAGAAAATAATCATCTGAGCTACTAGAATCAACTGAAGAGTTCAGATGCAAAAGCCACTAAACGCCACTTCCGCCAAAAATGAGATAATGACACTGAGCAAATGCTTTAGGCACGTAGTATACGATCAACACATAGATTTGCTTCTCATCATCTAAATCGCAGGGTCAGCTCATTCAGAATTAACAGTTTGTTGGCAAAAGCCTCTAAACGCCACTTGTCTTTGACAGCAAAAGCAGCTGTGTCCCGAGAACCAATCAGAAGCTGAGAATCAAATCATATCTTTTCAATTTAGCAGCGTGCTGATACGCCGGCTTTTATGGGGCGACTGTTTTATTCCACTTCCGGAGTTCGATGAATTGGATGAGCCTGTCCGACTGTCAGTGAATGGCAAATTTAAAAAAAAAAACATCTCTTACCTCAAAACTCTGTAAGAAAACACCCTTTACAGACGAAAGTGTAGCATGCATTCATAAAATTTTTTCGCAGTGACGCTACTTTAAATAAGTCCGATTTACTATACGTTAAACGGCAACTCCGTTACACGAGAGACAAAGTTAAGGTGTGTTCTTCTGTCCTACATGGATGCAACGAGGATAAACAAGAGATGGAAAAGTGACCAAGACCTTGAGTATGGAGAGAATGAATGAATGACATGAGACATCCCCTTTTTGCCCAGTAAACCTTGTGTTTTACTGGCTAATTTAAGCTACTTTTTAAAAGATAAATAAACTGTATAAAACTATACATTATTTATATTACTTCACATCACCTATACGCTTAATAAGCTTTTAATATTAATGGACATTGCAGATATTGATGTTTCACAATGTTTTTTACACTATATTATTTGAATCTAACAAGCTTAGTTTACAATGATTACAATGTTTACATTGCTCTACTTACATTAAGGCTGTACTCACACTAGGTACAGTTGTCTCGAACCAGGCCAAAGCACGCTTGTCCCCCCTCCCGTCTCCCCTGACGGCCCGCGCTCACACCACAAACCTTCTTGACAGATTTCATTCATTCATTTTTCTTCTGCTTTTTCCCTGGTTTATCAGGGGTATC